CATCTAGTGCTGCTACAACAGAAATACCACAAGCGGATGGTTTTAATGAAGAGAAGTTTATTTCTTCGTAGTCAAAGTAGGCTAAAAGTCCAAATTCAGGGCGTCAGCTCCAGGGGAAGACTTTTTCTCTCTCGGCCTTCTAATCAGTGTTCCCCCAGACTAGGAGCTTCTCGGCGCAGGAACCCCGGTCCAAAGGACACGCTCTGCTCCCGGCACTGCTTTCTTGGTGGTATGAGGTCCCCCTGTCTCACTGCTCACTTCTGTCTTTTATATCTCAAGACATTGCCTCAGAACACAATCCAGTCTTGTAGATCCAGTCCTGCCTTACTAACGCAACTGCCACCCATCCTCCCTCATTAACATCATAGAGGCAGGATTTACAACATATAGGAAAATCACACAGTACCAGGAATCGTAGCCCAGCCAAACTGATACACACGTTTTTTGGGGGACATAATTCAATCCATGACAGTGTGTTAAGGAGGACGGCAGAAGACTGAAGGTCCTTGGTCTGAGGAGCAAAACTTTTCTAAAGGGCTGCTTATGTGGATGAAGGTGGACACTAAAGGGCAGCCCTTGGGGGCAGATACCATGTTATAGTTTTTTCTCCAGCTCCAGTCCTTACCAGAATAGTAGAGGCTGAGCTCTGGTGTTGCAATGGTTAAGTACCTGGCTGCTAACTGAAAGGTCAGCGATTCAAACCCACCAGCCACTCTTTGGGAGAAAAGACCTGGCAATCTGCTCCCGTAAAGATTACAGCCTAAGAAACCCTATCGGACAGTTATACTCTGTCGTCTAGGGTCACTCTGAGTCGGAATCGACTCAAGGGCACGCGACAACAACCACCAGTTGCAAGGTAAGGGGATTTGGCCTTGACACAAGGTGAGGAAGACTTCCCAACAATAAGAGCTGCCTGGAACGCAAACAGACTGGTGTGGCGATAGTGAGCTCCCCGTCACTCACTGGCAGCAAGTGTAGAGCAGGAACTGAAGGGCTGCCTGTGTGTATGGGGGCGCACATCAGGAAGAGGCTGATGACTGAGGCCTGGGCGGCTCCTCCCTCCAGGTCTGGAGGTTCAGGGATCTCAGACCTCAGTGAGCAGCCCGTGGTGAGTGCCCCCTCTGGAACCCCAGCGCCTAGAGGGAGGTGGGTGATTCCCGAGAGCGCAGGCGAGCCCAGAAAAGGAAGGTGGGTTCATCCAGTGCAGTCCTGGTCTGCCGGAACTCACGCCTCAGCAGGCCCAGGGAGAGGGGAGGAAAGGGAGCCACGTGGGGTGATCATGGGAAAGGAGGGCTTCTTGATGGGTCTGCATCCCCTTGAAGACTATATCCTGCTGAGCAAGGGGGGATCTAGGGAAGGCCCAGTTCCTGGATGGCTTAAGTCACCCGAGCCAGCCTTTGCTAGGTCTGGCTTGGCAGTGCTGGCATACCCCCCAGGTAAGGCGGGTTCTTTCCCTGCTGACTGCTTCCCCTAATTGCAGAGCACAGTGTCAACCGGCCCCAATTAAGTGCAGTTATGAGATCTAAGAGATTATTCTACCATACTGGCTCCCTAGGCTCTCGGGCCTCCTCCTGGGCAAACTCCTTGGCGAAATCTAAGCGTCTGGAGCAAGATTTACAACCATCCTCCTTCCCCTCCAGCTCCACACAAAATAAAGACAGGATGAGCCTGCCCTCAGAGGTCTAATAATAGGCAATCACAGCAAAGGCCTATTGAGACTTTCCTCTGCCAGGCACTTGCTACCTACTTCACGTGCCTCATCACATCTCATCCTCACAAAGACCTGGTGTGGGAAGAAGTATGGTTACTGTCTCCGTTTAAAGATGGGTAAACTGAGTCCCAGAAAGGAGAAGCCATTTGTCCTGGGACATACAGCTGGTGATGGCAGAGCCTGGATTTGAACTCAGAGTTGTCTGACTCACAGCCTGAGTTGTTAGCCCTGCTCCCTACTGTCAGCACCACCCTGGGTGGAGTGGCTTAGGGGCATTGAAGGGAGGTGCTTGCCCCTCCCCTATCCCTTGCTGAGGCCTGAATTCCACCTAGACTGCCTTATAGCATGAGGCAGTTTTGCCACTATCACTAATCTTCTGTACAACCCTATGAGATCAGCAGGGTAGCTTTATCATGCCCATTTTACAGATGGAGAAAATGAGGTCAGAGCTCTGGGCTGGCAGAGCCAGAATTTGAACCCAGGTCTGTCTGACTTCCAGAGTCTGGGTTTTTTTCCCCTTACCCCACAGCTTTCAAAGGACAAGGACCAAGGCTTGTCATGGAGTGGCGAACAAGGCTGTGCCCAGCCCGCAAAGGGCTTCACTGTGATTATGGCTATGCCTGACCCTCCTCTCCTGTCATTTTCCAGGTGCCACCCAGGAGTGAAGGATGCTGCTCTGGGTGTTCTTCCTCGTGGTCCTTACCCTCAGCAGTGGCTCCCACTGCTCCCCACCCTCCCTGTCCCTCAGGTAAGCAGTTTTGCCAGCAGGGCCTGGGTTCCTTGTTGTCCCCAAGCCATCTCTGCCACAGGGGCTGGGGGATGCAGAATCAAGCCATCAGCTAGTCCCCAGCTATCTCCCTACCCAGCACCCACTGCCATCTCTGGGAGGGGCAGACGCTGAGCTCCAGGGAGGCCATCAAGCCCAGGGGCTGAGCCTCTCTGGGGGTGAGCAGGACAAAGGGCAACATAAGGGCCTTTCAGAGACATGGCAAAACAGCTCTCACTGTCCCCTCACCTGGCCCCAGCCACTCACCCCCTGACCTCTGATTCTCTCTAGGATGCGGCGGTACACAGATGCCATCTTTACCAACAGCTACCGGAAGGTGCTGGGCCAGCTGTCTGCCCGCAAGCTACTCCAGGACATCATGAGCAGGCAGCAGGGGTAAGCAGAAGTTCTAGTGATTTCTTCCACACCTCTAGGTATCAGTTTGGAGGCCCTGGCATAGGAGGCCAGGGACCAGGTTTGGTCTTTTCGCTTGTACAAAACCAAAAAAACCAAACCCATTGCTGTCAAGTCAATTCCAACTCATAGAGACCCTCTAGGACAGAGAAGAACTGCCCTGTAGGGTTTCCAAGGCTGTAAATCTTCACAGGAGCAGACTGTCACCTCTTTCTCTCATGGAGTGGCTGGTGGGTTCGAACCGTCGACCTTTCGGTTAGCAGCCAAGCACAGAACCAGTGTGCCACCAGAGCTCCTTTCTTCCCTTGTAAAGCATCTATCTATCATTTCTGGCCTTTCTATAGCAGAAGGGCCCCAATGATAAACCTCAGCTTCCCTCTCACTATTAAATGCTCACTGAATACTTAGTACCTGCTTCTCCCTACACTAGGCTCCAGCACTAACAACACCGATGGTAGCTACCATTTAATCATGATTCCACACCAGAAACACAGGTTCTGCACTGGGACGTTTATGTACACTTGGCACACAGTGAGCTCTTGATAAGTGTTTGCCATCGTTCTTACTTTCTTACTGATCTTTGCAACCATTCTATAAAGTAGGTACTCTTATCTCCACTTTACAGAGAGGTTAATCGCTTGCTAAAGGACACACAACCAAAGAGAGGCAGAGCTAGGGCCCAAACAGTCTGACTCCACAGCCTGTACTGTTTTTTAGTTTTTATTTTGAAAAAAATTTCAGACTTACAGAACAGTTGCAGGAATAGTACAAAGGACTTCCTCCCACATGCCTGTTCCTATATTCACAAATTCCAAATATTTTACCATATTTTCTTACTCTATTTATAGTTATACCTAGAGATATACATAACCAAAACCAAACCCATTGCTGTCGAGTCGATTCCAACTAGTAGCAACCCTATAGGACAGAGTAGAACTGTCTCACAGGGTTTCCAAGGAGCCGCAGGTGGATTCAGCTGACCTTTCGGTTAGCAGCTGAGCTCTTAACCACTGTGCCACCAGGGCTCCAGAGATATACTTACATATACAAATATTATTATTTTGCTGAGTCATTTGAGAGTAAATTGTAGTCATCGTGACCCTTTGCCCTTAAATACTTCCACATGGGTCTCCTAAAACCTAACAAAAGGGCTTTCACTATTTACATAACCACAATATAATCATCAATTATAGTCCATATTTGAATTTCACCAGTTGTCCCAAAATGTCCTTTATAATAACTCTTTCTTTTTCTGACCCAGGATCCAATTCTAGATCACAGATTGCGTTTAGTTGTCATGCCTCCTTAGATTCTTTTAATCTGGGCCAGTTCCTCAGTCTTCCATGACATTGACATTTTTGATTAGTAAAGGCCAATCATTTATAGAATGTCTTCCATACTGGATTTTCTGATGATTCCTTATGATTAGATTCAGGTTATGCATTCACAGAAGTGACACTGTGCCCTTCTCAGTGTGCCATATAGAGAGGCACAGGATGTTAATTTGATGATGTTAATTCTAATCACTTGGTTAGCTTGGTGTCTGCTGGGTTTCTTTGTAAAGCTAATAATTTTCCCTTTGTAATTAATAAGTAATCTGTGGGGAGGTATTTTGCAACTGTGTGTTTCACTGCCTGTACTCTTTTCGACTATGTATGCAGCCTCTCTAAAGTGTTGCTGAATCTAATTCACTTGGGTGGAAGGGTCCACATCACACTGGTTACTGAAATAGGTATAGAGACACATCCCTACTCAGCCTGCATACATTTGAAGGGGCCGCACTTTGCCCTGGCCTCTACCAGGCCTCTCCACAGTTCTACCCAAAAAGCAACCCCAGCTATTTCTCTTTTTCTAACCAAAAAGAGAGAAAAATCAGGAACAAGAAGCAAGGGTGCGGCTTGGCCGTCAGGTGGAGAGCTTGTGGGCAGACCAAAAGAAGATGGCACTGGAGAGCATCCTGGTGGCCCTGCTGCAGAAGCACAGGTAGGAGTACATGTGTGTGTCTGTGTGTGTGTGTGTGTGTGTGTGTCTAAGGACTTCAGAGGCTTCCTTCCACGTGGGTTGCCAGGAAAAGAAAAGAATCCCTTCCTTTCCAAAGACTAGGGCTCTACTAAGCAAGTTCTTACATCAAGAACTCGAGGAAGGGCATCTGGGTTGCACTAAATCTTGGTGACGGTTGCATAACATAATTGATGTAATTGGTTTCATCGACTTATACAAGTGAAAAATGTTGAATTGGCAAATGTTGTGGTACGTATATTTTTATAACAAAAACAAGCAAAAAAAAAAAAAATGAAAGAAAGAACTAAAGGAGAGAAAATGTGTGATGGAGACGGGACCTTACCCACTGCTGTGTCCCCAGTGAGCAGCAAGGGGTCAGGCTAAGAGTCTGTGTCTGATAATGTTATTTAGTTCAACAGTTCTGGAATAAGGCCCAGAAAACTGAATTTTTTTTTTGAAACTTTCAGGAAGTATTCTTAAAGGGAAGGGACATTCTTTTTTTCTCCCCTTTCCTCTTTTTGTTTTTATTGTTATTTAGGCAAAAGTTTACGGAGCAAATTTGTTTCTCATTAAACAGTTAATACACAAATTGTTTTGTGACATTTGTTGCCAACCCCACAATGTGTCAACACTCTCCCGTTCTCCACCCTAGTCTCCCTGTTTTCATTTGTCCGGTTTTCCTGTCCTTTCCTGCTTTCTCATCTTTGCTTTTGGGCTAATGTGTCCGTTAGTCTCGTATACACGATTGAACTATGAAGCACATCCCTCACATGTGTTATTGTTGGCCCCATAGACCTGTCTAATCTTTGGCTGAAGGGTAAACCTCAGGAGTGACTTCAGTGCTGAGTTAAAAGGGTATACGGGGGCCCTACTCTTGGGGTTTCTCTGGTCTCCATCAGGCCAGCAATCCTGGTCTTTTTGTGTGTGAATTTGAATTTTGGAACCTGAATTTTAACAAGTGTACCCGGGAGATTCTGATGCAGGTGATCTGAGAAGCCTGCCCTGATCCCTTGGCAAGTTCACAGAACTATAAAGCCCAAGAGAGACCAGTCCCCCACCATCCTCTGAGTGTGTGTGGTGCTCACCAGAGGGGAAGACGGTCATGCTGTCATTTCCCATCTCTCTGACCCTCACATCCCCGTGGGCGTCAGGGGAGATGAGGAATGAGCTTTCCCTTTTCACAGAAGAGGAAAACTGAGGCAAAGAAGGGGCAGCAGCTGGTTCAGTGTCAGGGACAGGCAGGACCAAGGCCTGCTTTGCCTCCCTGGGGCTTTTTTGCACAAGCTCCACTCCATGGACAAAGTTTCCTAAGAAATATGTAATTGTTTGAAGAAACTGCTGTATTTTAGAGCCCAATTTTAAACTGTGAACACAAGCATGTCCCAGCGTGACTCTGTTGGGCATTCTGGACCAAGCTATTAAGAGGATCCAGTTCCCAACAGAGCTCTCCACATGCTCCCTCACCTTCTTCCCAACCTAATTAGATGCCAGGAGCCCAGAAATCTCACCAACTATAGTCCTGCAGAGATTCAAGTGGCAGCAGGTCGATGGGCAGACTACAGGAGGGGCGGGAGCCAGTGCTGGGAGGCAGGATAGACATACGGGCCCCAAGTCCAGTTCTGCAACCAACACGTTGTATGCAGCGACCGTCAGCCTCCTAGTTTCCTCCTCTATGAAAGGAAGGGGTTAGCTCTGATCTCCTCTAAGGTCCCTAGGGCTAGAATCCTAAGAACAATGCCTCTAAGAAGGCCTCCCCTGTGTGTCTCACACTGGGATTAGGTAATCAGTCACCTGCTTTATGGCTCCCACAAGGCTCTGGTAGGCTAAAGTAGCCCTAAAGAGGGCAGTCCTAAGAATGCAGGCTTTGTTCCTGCAGGTTAAAAGCTGGAGGCCTCACAGAGTCTCTGGAGAGCTAGAAGTCACAGAGCACACAGGGAGGGGTCTGCAGGCTGCCGTTGTTGCCTTCCAGCTCAACTGCTGCAAATACCAGGAGGTCTCTGTGGGGCTGAGAGGACCCAAAATAAGAATGAGTTCTTACACCTTTATAGTGCAGAAACCAATTAACCAGTGGATTCCGACTCGTGGAGACCCCATGGGTGTCAGAATAGAAGTGTGCTCCATAAGGTTTTCAGTGGCTGATTTTTCAGAAGTAGATCACCAGGCCTTTCTTCTGAAGAGTCTCTGGGAGGACTTGAACCTTCAACCTTTCAATAGCAGCTGAATGTGTTAACCATTTGCACCACCTGGGGACTTGAGGAGTGATTTTTTTTATGACCCAGTTTTGCACCCCAAACACCTTGTGCTCTGCATAACAGCCCTGTAAAGAAACTGAGGTTCAGATTTGTCCATCCTCAGCCATTTAATGACCACTATGTTCCAGCCTCTGGGCTGGGGGTACAGCAGTGAACAGGACAGCGGGGGTCCCTGCTCTCCTGGAATTCACAATGCACGGAGGGAGACAGGAATTAAACCAGTACTTGTAGAATGGATTATTTCATTACGTTGTGATAAATGGTAAGAGACACAAAGGGTGCCATGAAGGCGTGTGCTAGGAGGAAGCTGACCCTGACTAGCGATCAGAGGCAGCTTCTTCAAGGGGAAGTGACCGGCCCAGGGTCTCAGTGGGAGCAAGGTGGCAGAACTAGGGCTAAGGCTGAGGTCAGCTTTGCTGGCACGCATGCACATCTTTCCCTCCACCCCACATTGCCTCTTTTGGAACCCAGACAGCCAGCTCCCGACACTGGAGTAACTATCACCCTGGTTCCTAGTATTCCTGCCCTAATTCACTCTTACATCAATCCTCCAGACTGAACTTTTATCTTTCTTTCTGCAGCAGGAATTCCCAAGGATGAAGATTCTGCCTGTGCTTTATGCTACCCGTAGCCAAAACACAGCTGAATCCAGTTAATCCTATGAATCTCTGACTACTTTTTCCTACGTAAATAAATAAAATCCCCCCATACTGGTCTGCATTTCAATTTTCTTGTGTCTTCAGCCTAGTTTTTTACATGTATCTTACACAGTTACGTTTCCCAAAGTAGTATTAAAGATGTCATAAAAGCCAGCTAATATTTACCAAGCACTCAGCCAGCCAGGCAGCTTCTCACGTGGAATCTCCTATGCTCTTCACACAGCCCCCTCGGAGGCATTAGCATTCTCCTCATTTCACAGATGAAGGAACTGAGGTGTGGAAAGGTTAACTGAGTTGTCCACGGTCACACACTGGCAAGTGAGTGTTGGGATTCAAAGCCAGGCAGTCCAGCCCGGACACAGACTCTTAACCATATTCACCTACTCTGGGCAAAGTCATCCTTTATCCACTGGTGTCCTGTTCATCTATGAGCAATAACCATTTATTCATCCAACAAATAGTTATAGAGCACTTACTACATGCCAGGCACTGTTCTAGGCATTGGGGATACACCGTGAGCAAACAGACAAGGGTCCCCGACCCCATAGAGCTTACGTGTAATGGAGGAGAAGAATAACAAAAACAAGTAAATGTAGAATATATCAGATGGTGGCAAATGCAAAGGGAAAAATTCAATAAGAGCATGGAAAGTGCTGGAGGGTATTATATTACATATGACTTATATATGTGCTGTCTAGTGGTCAGGGAAGGCCTCAATGGTGAGGTGACATTTTAGTAAAAACCTGAAGGATGAGATAGTTGGACTTGTGAATATTTGGGCAAGGAAGATTCCAGGCAGAGGGAAAACCCAACACAAAGGCCTGAGGCAAGAGTGAAAAGAGAAACAGCAAGGATTTCAGTGTGGCTGCCAGAGATGAATGAGGGTGAGAGTGGAAGGAAAGGAGGCAGAGAGGGAGTGGGAGGCCGACTCATGGAAGCCACTGTAAGGACTTTGGATCTCACCCTTAGTGAGATGGGAAATATTGCAGAATTTAAGAGGAATGACCTGACCTCAGGGCAGGAGATGTGTTTGGCAGTCATGGCCATTTAGGTGCACTTTGAAATCAGGTGACTAGGTTAGACCACCAAGAGAAGAAGTATAGAAACAGTAGAGAAGAGGTCCAAGGATTGACCCCGGGGTACCCCTATATTTAAAGTTTGGAGGGAAAATGAGGAACAAGCAAAGGAGATGGAGAAGGAACAGCCAGTGAGGTAATAGAAAAACCAAGAGAGAAAAATCTCAGAAGCCGACTGAAGAAAGTGTTTCAAAAAGCAAGTAATTTACAGTGCTAAATGCTACTGATGGGTCAAGTAGGTTGAAGACACCCCGAGAACTGACCATGGACTAGGTTATGTGGGAGCTACTGATTACCCTGGGAAGAACAAATTGGGTGGGGTTGGAGAGGCAAAAATCTGATTCAAGTGTGTACAAGAGAAAATGGGAGGAGAGGAATCAGAGTTAGTGAGTATATACCTGAGCTGTCCAATATGGTGGCCACTAGCCACATGTGGCTATTGAACGGTTGAAATGTAGCTAGTGTGAACTGAAATGTGCTTAAAGTATAAAATACATGCCGGCCTTCAAAGCCTTAGTATGAAAAAAGAATGCAAACTATCTTCGGATACAATGTTTATTGCAACCTTATTCATGACAGCCAAAATGTAGATATAACCCAAGTGTCTACCAACAAATGAATGGATAAACAAAAAGTGATATATACATACAATGGAATAGTACTCATCCATAAACAGAAATGAAGTTCTGATACAAGCTACAACACGAATGAACCTGGAAAACATTATGCTGAGTGAGACACAACAGACAAATATTATATGATCCCATTTATATGAAATATTTAGAATAGGCAAATGCATAGAGACAAAAATTTATTAGTGGTTATCAGGGGCTGGGTGGGGGGATGGGGAGTTATTGCTAAGGGTACTGAGCTTCTGTTTGGGATGATCAAAAACTTTTGGAAATGGTGGTAATGACTGCACAACATGGTGAATGATGTAACTGAATTGTCTGCTTAAAAATGGTTAAAAAGGCAAAATTTTGGATATATATACTTTACCACAATAAAATTATTTAAAATCTCAATAATATTTTTATATTTATTACATAGTAAAATGATAATATTTTTGATCTATTGGATTAAATAAAATATATTATTAAAATTAATTTCACTTGGGTTGTTTTGGTTGCTGTCTTTTTTTACTTTTTATTGTGGTTACTAGAAAATTTTAAACTGCTTATGTGGCTTGCATTACAGTTCTATTGGACAATGCTGGTAGAGACAATTCTTTGGAGAAATTTTGGTCTAAAGAAAAGCAGAGAACTGAAACAGCTTACCAACCAAACCAAACCAAACGCGTTGATTGAGTTGATTCCAACTCACAGTGACCCTGTAGGACAGAGTAGAACTGCCCCATAGGGTTTCTAAAAAGTGGATAGTGGGTTCCAACTGCCAACCTTTTAGTTAGCAGCCACAGCACTTAACAACTATGCCACCAGGGCTCCAGAAGCAACTGACCAGAGGTCCCTATTCAGTGATTACTCAACTTTTCCTACTAATGAACCATTTTATCTGAGCCAAATATTCTCACACGTCACCTATCCTACACATGCCTTTCATCGGAATCTGTGAATTTTCTGGGTTGATCAAAAGGTTCTATAATTTTGATTTTCATAGTGGCCCCACAGGTGTAGTTATATGTAAAAATCCAGTGAGCTGTATTTTTAAGATTTGTGCATTTTATTGTAAGTAAATTAAATCTAAAACAAACAAGAACAAAAATCTGACAAGTCTGGAGATGAAGAGATTATCAGGTTGGTATGTCCGTTTTAATTAAAAGAGTTTGGGAGAGCATTGAGTGTGTTAATGGTGGCGGAATATTTTGGAAAAGAATAATGATAAATGATAATAGTGGCACAGCATGAAAAAGGTAATCAATTGTCATTGAAATGTAAACGTGGAAGTTGTCGCATTGGTGAATGAATGTTTTGGTGCATATACTTTTACCACCACAACAACAAAAAATAAAAAACAGATACAAATAAACAAATAAAAGAATCACAGTATTTTAGAGTTGATGAGGACTCCCAGATGAGCAATCCTACCCCTTTCATTTTTCCAGCTGAGGATATTGCCACCAAAGAAAGGAAGTGCTCAACCCAAGTCTTGTGGGCCTGGAAGCTGAGTCTCCTGCCTCCCAACACCAGAGCTGCAAAACCAATTTCTTTACAGAGCTTATACCATCTGCTCTTTCTGGGGGCCTCCCTTAGCACTCCCTACCTCAGAAAAAGAAGTGAAGTGTGGGAAAGTCTCTGTGGGGGCCGCGGTGGGGCTCTGCTGAATAAGAACAATAGGAGACAAAAACTCCCTCCAGAGGAGGGCTGGCCTTGGAGGGCAGGCTGTCCACTTCAACCAAGAGAGGCAGGCAGGCCCAGAACCTGCCAAGGCAGGAGAACAACGGACACTGCTGAATGGGAGACTGGCCTGGGCCAGCCCTGGGGACCCCCTCCTTCTCCTAGACCCACCTGCTCATCTTTTTCCTTGGCCTGTCCCGACAAAAAGAAAAACTCAGAGCTCTCTTAACTTCCAATTAGTTTTTCAAACAAAATAATGACCACTGGGACCCGCTGCTACTTGTGGTTTTCTGCTACTTGTGGTTTTCTGCTACTTGTGGTTTTCGAGGTGAATGCAATCGTAAAGGAAAAAACCATCATGGTAACAATTCCGGTATTTTATCTCCATTAACTAGGACACTAATGGTATCATAAAAGACTTAACCCCTCCCCACAGAGGTGCTGGGAGCTTCCCACTCCGTGGGGGCCCTACTCAAGACCAAGTGCTGTTTTTTTCCCTAAAGAAATGCTCTAATCAATGGGTGCCTTGTTGCTTTTGTTAATAATCCCTTATGTTTATATTAACTTTAAGTTCACAAAGAGGTTTCCCATCTGTCACTTCATTTGCTTTCTACGACAACCCTCTTGAGCAAGAGAGAGAGGGAGTACTGGCTGGTTTCACTGAGGACAGATGACTGGCCCCAGGTCATACAGCTCGAAGGTAGCAGAGCTGCGACCTGAATTCCAGGGGCAAGCTGGGGAATCAAGTGACTAAGCAAATGAACAAACGAATGCAGACCTGGTACAAGCTGCTTACTGAAAACACCCAGGAAATCAACCATGATAACAATAACTACACTAATCAGAGCAAACACTGACGAAATGCTAAGTGTAGGCGCTGTGGCGTATGTTTTGGGTGTGACCTTGTTTAATCTTTATAAAGCTCTCAGAGGTATTATCCCCATTTTTACTGATGGGAAACTAAGGCCCAGAGAGGTGCCTAAGGACACACAGCTAATTAGGGAATTCAAAGCAGGTCTGTTTGACTTCAAAGAGTACACTCAAAACCTCTATGCTTTGTACTCCTTAGAGGAGGCCATGGCCTGGCATTGCAGCGCTAAATAATTTGAGGGACAGATCCAGGGGATTTCATAAGTAATAGGAGTTAGTCTTGCTGTCAGCTCCAGCCCTCCCAGGTCCATTTGGCTGCAAGCAACCCGATTCTTCTCCTAAGCCTTGCTCCAGAACTGAGAGCCAAGAGCCCTTCAAGAGGTTCTACCCCGGCAGGCATGTAGGGTGAGTTTCCACCTCTGTCACATCCCTACGTAAAATTCAAATTGCTTAGACTTTGTCAGTACCTTCCCACTGGTCCTAAAATAAAATCTATCCCCTTTACCACATCCCTGCTTGTTCTGCATTCTTCTGCCTCATCCCAGGATGCTCGTCTCCTTGCTAACTACACCCTAATACACTGGCTTGCTTTCAGTTCAAATATGCCAGTCTCTGGCCTGCCTCAGGCCCTTTGCACATATTGATTTTTCTGCATAGAGTGCTTTTCCCCAGCTCTGTATAGCAGGCTCCTTCGTGTCCTTCAGGCCTCGGCTTAGCCTTCCCAGTCTCTCTAGATAAAAACTGCTTCCTTTGAAGCCCTGCTCTCATTTATATCACTCTGCTCCCTTTCTCTGTCCTCTCTCCAGATTATAAACTGACCAAGGGCAGGGATTGTATCTGTCCTGTTCACTGTTGTAGCTCTATACACAGCATAGTCTGGCACACAGCAAATATTTGCTGTGCTCCGTTCTCCAGCTCCTCTGGGCCTGCAGGCCAGCCCTGAAGAGCCCTGGTGCCCCTTCCCAAGGAGGCGGTTTCCTGACTTCCTTCCCTCCAGTCTCCGGCTGCCCTTTGTTTCCGTGACCAGGACACTCAGCACCTTTTGTACTTCCACTCTCAGGCCCTACCACCCCTTCTCTGCACCACTGTCCACCAGGCCTTAACCAGTCTGTCTTTCAGAATTTTAAGGGTCCTGGTGATAGGTGTCCAAGTCCCAGCTGGGTGGGTTTCCCTGCTCTCATCCACATGTTGCTGGCTTCCTCCCCTTCCCCACCAGTGTGGGTTGTTGAGATCTCAGCACACCTAAGGGACACTAGGAGCCACCCAAGAGCAATGGGAGACCAACATCACCCTTTGCCCTCAGGGTGGAGTAAGCAACTAAAATTAGAAGCAAGGGGTCCCAAAGTCATATGCCTACAGGAGCCAGGCAGGAAATTAGTGAACGACGTTGGCTGGGACCAACACCAGTACCATGGTAAGTGGAACTGATTCTGAGTAGTAGGCTATGGCAAACTGGAGCGAGCAAGCCCCAGCAAGTGGAGTTGTGATTCAGCTCCAGCTGATTGCAGGAATCAGGCCCAATGTTGTCAGATCTACCTCTCTTTTTCAAGAGAATCCAAAACTGAAACCCCAGATTTTTATATGAAATCTCACAATTTTTAAATGTTGACAACAAATTCAATTTTTGAAAAAAACACTATGGATAAAATAAAACATATCTATGGACCACCAGTTTGAAACCTCTAGAAAAGGCAAAGCATCTTTCCCATCTTCCAGACAGCCCTGTAATTGCCCAAATTGCCCTCTCTCCTGCAGAATCTCATTCTGACCTAGCCCAAAGTTCCAGAATCTCCTATTCCCTTTCTCCAATCAAAATTCCAGTTTTCTCACTGTAGTGAAGTCCAGCTAGGTTGGAAAGCAATCTGGTTAAAATAATTCCTATCCCCCAAATTAAAAAAATACTGTTGGGATCACCTGCATTTCAAAAGTTAACAAAATGCATCATGTTTCAATTAACAGATTTAGAGGCAATGAGCCAGAGTTCATAACTGTGGCCCAATTAGGAAAGATGCCAAGCACTAAGCCAAGCAGTTTACATGCACTAACCAGTTGCCGTTGAGTCAATTCCAACTCATCTCCATGTTTGAGAAGAACTGCACTCCAGAGGATTTTCAATGGCTATGACCTTTTGGAAGTAGATGGCCAGGTCTTTCTTCCGAGGCACCTCTGGGTAGATTCAAACTGCCAATGTTTCATTTAGTAGCCAAGCTCTTAAAAGTTTGTGCCACCCAATTAACTCCTTTAATTCTATGAGATAGGTATTGTTTCTATCTCTTTAAAAAGAAGAAAAAAGGAGGTTTGGAGAAGTCACCTGCTCAAGGCCCCTCACCTAATAAGTGGCAGGTTTGCCTGACACCCAAGTCTATCCACTTAGCCACACTCTTCTATTTATTATTACTTCTCTATATGATTCTATATAACTTTCATGTATGTAATGGTGGTCCTGGGGTAAAACTTCAAAAGGGTCATTCTTGAGATGTGTGTGTCTTTCTAAGTCTTGAGCCTAAGATAACTCATGTGGTCAGCCTACTCTGAAGACAATCCCTTTCCTTTCCACTTCATGCGGTGCCAGAACTTTCAAGGCAAAAGCCTTGAGCAGGAGTCCTAGGTGCTATAGCAAGAGGACCTTCAGATACCAGCAAGGCTCCCTGCAGACAGCTTATGCTCACTGCTAGAGAAGAAGCAAGGAAGGTGATTGGTCCAGGCAATTCTCAGTCCTGTAAGGAAAGAGGCGAGAAGGAGCAATGTAAAGAGGCCTGGGGAAATACCTGGTCATCTTGTCCATGGTATTTCCTAACGAAGTTCTCATGTTACATACCCCAAGAACACCACTCCTCCAAAGGCACTAGAATAAACTCTCATAATAGAAATATTATTATTTTTTTAATTCCAAAACCAATTAATTACAGATTTCAACTTTCCAAATGCAACATCCAGGTAAGTTAAGAATATTCACGGCATCTTGCCGGGGGGCCATGCCAAAGAAACAGAATAATATCTGGGCTCATGGGATCTGCTCTGTGTTGGGGAAATTGAAGAACAAGTACAACCACACAATCTCAACTTTTTTCTTTTTAAATAAAGTTTTGTTTTCAAATTGTGAATTGTTCTTGACTCCTTTTCTCAACATTCATTTCAGAATTTCTTTCCTTCCTCTGGAACTAATGTGCTGTCCTGAAAGAAAATAGAGACAAACACAAAATTACTGAAGATTTCAATTCACTGTTGCCGTTCCTAACTGGTGACAACAGAGAGACCAAGGTACTCTTCCACTATAAGAGCCTATTTATCAGAGCATAATCATTTATCTATTAATTCCTATTTATTTATGCCCCATCTCATTTCACAAAATAATTTGAGACAGCTAGTTCATAACTAAAGCTGATGACAACTTAAATAAAAACAATGAATCAAACCTTATGATAACTAAGTAAGAGGCATTTAAAAATATAAGGAGATGAGCAAATTCCAGGCACACCTCTCACTGTGCAAGGCCAAAAACACATGTAACAATAAACAGGTGAACAGAGAATTTAAAGAATGCTCATCTTAAATTTCCTAGACTCCAGATCTGCCAACCAACATGTGGCCCTTATGTAGCTTGGAAAATGGCATCCTCACCATTCAGTCCACAAACTTGCACCATATTCCTGCCATGTGGCCAAGTTCTAGTCAATGGTCAGACTCAGCATCTAAACCTAAGGCAGAAGGACACTCAAAAACGGGACTTGGTTCACAGAAAAATTTTAAGAGGGGATAAAAACCTCTCAGCTTCCTCATTCCCTCGTTCCTCGAGGCTGCCTTTCCGGAGACTCCAAGAAGTGATGGAGAAACACAGGAAATGAAAAGGACAATCTAGACAGACACCGTGCCACCAGGAAGGTCACAGCAGCCAGTAATAACTGGGTCAGCTCTGGCAAGCAGAAGCAGGGCGCTGACGCCCAGGGCATTCATCAGCAGATAACTATATCCAGTGGGGAGGAGTAATGTGATGAGGATGAAGTTTTGCAGAATGGCAGGCTCCAAACCAATTAATCAAACAGCACCAAGGGGCGTACATAGGCATGGAACTGATCCCGAGGGCTGAGTGATTGCCCCTAGCTCCCTGCCAATATCCAGAGGTTCCTCAGTACACTAAAATGTGTGTAATCAGAAATGTTCATGTGGAGAGTACAGCATGAGAATAGAGTAAGAACAGCTGAAGGGTACTGGCCCACAGCTGCTATCCTGGCTAAGGAGTTACGGCCTATGTTTTGCCTGCTCAAAACAACGTCCTTCCTTAGATGAAGATCACTTTGCTACCAGGGACTTTCCTCTAAGGTACTAGGTCACAGCCTCAGAAAGTGGCAAAGGTCCAAACGATCAAATGACTTTCCTCTCCCTTAAGCAATATGACTTGGGGGTGGCAGGGAGGGAGTGAACTACTTAAAAATCCAGGAAAAAAAAATTAATCCAGCGTTGTTTTAAAGAATGAAAAACTCAACATTTAGCAGAAAGGACAACAGAACTGACTAGCTCTGAAAGCAAATCTCAGATAGAGCAACTATAAATTAAGACAAAACCAGATGGATATTGCCAGGGACTGGGGGTGGGGTGAAGGGACTAACCACAAAGGGCACAGGGGAACTTTCTGGAGTGTGAATAGTTTACATCTTGATTGAGGTGGTGGTTACACCCTGCATAAGTTTGTCAAAATTCAGAGAATCATACACCAAAAAGGGTTTTAAAACCAAATCAAAACCATTGCCGTGGAGTCGATTCCGACTCATAGCGACCCAGGTGGCCCAGTGGTTAAGAGGTCAACTGCTAAACAAAAGGTTGGCAGTTCAAATCCACCAGCTGTTCCTTGGAAATCCTATGGGGCAGTTCTACTTTGTCCTATAGGGTTGCTATAAGTTGGAATCAACTCAACAGCAATGGTTAAAAAGGGTTTTGCTCTATATAAATTTTACCTCAACTAAACCTAAAAAAACAAAACCAAAACAAATGTAATTCCTTTCTGTGTTGAGGGCTAGGTGTTCCAGCTTCTGCTCACACAACAGTAAAAGGGCTCTACATTCTATGCACTTTTTGTTCTCTTATTTTCGGAGGATGAAAAACTAGATGACTTTGTTGCTTTGTTAGGGAAAGCTATCTCCAAGGCAATGGACAAGAGAATACATGACCTGAAAATACAACTATCTCCCTCTTCTTTGTTGGTCTAGTGCAGGGGTCAGCACACTCCAGCCTGGAGCCAAATCCAGCCCACCTCTTGTTTTTGTAAATAAAGTTTTATCGGAACACAGCCATACTCATTTGTTTACATATTGTCTACAACTATGCAAACGCATTCAACTGTGTGGATCATAATAAAATACAGATAACACTGCGAAGAATGGGAATTCCAGAACAGTTAACTGTGCTTATGAGGAACTTGTATATACATCAAGACACAGTCATTCGAACAGAACAAGGGGATACTGTGTGGTTTAAAGTCAGGAAAGGTGTACATCAGGGTTGTATCCTTTCACCATACTTATTCAATATGTATGCTGAGCAAATAATCCGAGAAGCTACACTATATGAAGAAGAACAGGGCATCTGGATTGGAGAAAGACTCATTAACAACCTGCGTTATCCTGAGGACACAACTTGCTTGCTGAAAGTGAAGAAGACTCGAAGCACTTACTGATAAAGATCAAAGACCACATCCTTCAGTATGGATTACACCTCAGCATAAAGAAAACAAAAACCCTTACAACTGGACCAATAAGCAACATCACAATAAAAGGATAAAAGATTGAAGTTGTCAAGGATTTCATTTTACTTGGATCCATAATCAACGTCCATGGACGCAGCAGTCAAGAAAATCAAAAGATGCATTGCATTGGGCAAATTTGCAGCAAAAGACCTCTTTAAAGTGTTGAAAAGCAAACATGTCACCTTGAAGGCTAAGGTGTGCTTAACCCAAACCATGGTGTTTTCAATTGCCTCATATGCATGTGAAAGCTAGACAATGAATAAGGAAGACTGAAGAAGAATTGACGCCTTTGAATTGTGGCGTTGGCAAAGAATACTGAATATACTGTGGACTGCCAAAAGAACAAACGAATCTGTCTTGGCAGAAGTACAACCAGAATGCTCCTTAGAAGCAAAGATGGTGAGACTACATCTCACATACTGTGGACATGTTATCAGGAGGGATCAGTCCCTGGAGAAGGACATCATGCTTGGTAAAGTAGAGTGCCAGCAAAAAATAGGGAGACCCTCAACAAGATGGACTGACACAGTGGCTGCAACAATGGGCTCAAGGATAACAATGACTGTGAGGATGGCGCAGGACCGGGCAGTGTTTCTTCTGTTGTACACAGGGTCGCTACAAGTTAGAACCAACTTGACAGCATCTAGCAACAACATGGCTGCTTTCACATTACAGTGGCAGTGTGAAGTAGTGGTGACAGAGATCATATGGCCCACAAAGCCTAAAATACCATCTGGCTCTTCACAGAAAAAGTCTACCAACCCCTGGTCTAGAGAAGCTGAACAGTGAAGCACCAGACTCGCTCACTCTCTCTTCTTCCCCCCCTTCACTTTGCCTCCACTTCCATCCCCATCCTATCTAGAAGAAGAATGGGCAATATTTAACTTGAAATTTTAGTCACAGGGGGAGCAGCCTTACACCACACCCTGAATGCTATAAAGCTGGATTCTGATGCAGCTTTGATCTGTGGCCATCATAATTTTGTCTCACCAAACCACACCGTGTGGCCCAACTAAAGGTTGGTGCTACAAAAAGGCCTAGAAACAGTGACAAGGTGTGCCAGGATCTGCCATGGGGACCATCATTTAATGAATTTAGATGTTCTGAATGGGGTCCCCCTTTTAAGAAGCCCAAAGTTTGCCCAATCTAATCCTCAACTCTCTCCTCCTATAAACATACACAGGAGGGGCTGGTGTTTCTAAATAAGTACCCCATGAGATCCAAGGGAGGATGAAGTATTACACAGCCAAAGTCAGGCCAAAGTTGCTCTGCTGCAAAGCTACCCCACTGGCTAGACTAACACAGGGGGCTTTAGGTGCAGTAAGTTGGAATATGGCCTCAGAATTCAGCTTTGGCTTAGGAAGGGCTGGGGAAGAACGAGTGGGCTGAAAACTAGATAGAACAACTGACATGCAGGAGGTGGGCAAGACGGGCAAGGGACCCTGCTTCTGACAGGAGTCCGCCCTTCATCGTTACCGTAGTGTCCTATATTTTGCCAATCTACTGCTCTGCTCTGCAGCGATCCTGCCAAAGGAAAGAGGGTTTGAGAGTCAAGAAAGGACAGTGAGAGGAGAAATAAGCCAAGGAAAGAAATAGCAAACACCCAACCAGAGCTTCCATCAGGGTCAGTGATTTTCCCAGTGACAGAGTTAGTTCTAGGACTTATAAAGACAGTAGCAGGAGTCTTTAACCTTTTGTGTGGGATATATGAACAGGGATCGGGGGGTGGAGGGAGTAGTCATTGATTCTTTTGAAAACTACTGTCCCTTTTTCCAGGAAATGCACACAATTTTAGGATCCCAGATTAAGAACTCCTGCTAAGCAGGCTCTAAATCAAATGCCTTTCGTGGCTATCACCTCTTGATTTTGTTTGTCTTGTGTGGGCATCCATCCTCCAGAAAAAAAGAGCTCAGCAGGGCACAGCCTTTTGGCTCCCTGAGGCCCGGACTGGCTCCTGCAAGGGAATAAGGCTTTGGGAAAACAACTGAGTCCTAGCTCCTCAGGTGCGATGTATAGCCAAGTAAAGGCTGCTGGAGGGGCAGAAAAACTAACCAAGCTGCCACTGCTAGTGCTGAGGGAAGCTCTGGTGGAATATGGAGGACAACAAGGTAGCCCAGGAGCACGTCTGTGCCGGATCTCCAGGGTGAGGCACTCAGAGAACTCACAGTGGAGACTCAGGCAGGGCAAGACATTTGACTTTACCACCCACAACGGTCTCTGAGAAAGCCTCTCTCTGATCTGACCAGCTTAATTGGCAGCCATGGCACACTACTGAGTTACACTCTTCTAGGAAAGTCTTGGTGAAGAGAAAGCAGAGCACGTCTGGAAATGTTTACTTCCAAAGGTGAAAGCAATTGTGACCTTTTCTTATTGGCTTTTGCGTAGCTGAAATCGCCCAAGTTCTAATAAAGTCAAATCAATGAGAACCACCTATGTGACATTTACATTTGTCTTGAATTCCATTTTGAAAGTCAAGCTGCCAGCAAGCTGCCATCACATCGAGGTCTAACCATTTGTGTGAACCTGAGGTTGTCTGGTTCTCAGGGAAGTGGTTCAGTTATGCAGCAGGTGCACCCTGCTGGGTGCCTCTATGCAAAGCCTGCAGCAGCTTCTGAGGGGAAGAGCGCTGACCTCACGCGTAGGAGGAAAAGTTTTTGCAGTCTGTTAGGGTTTATAGAGGAATAACTCTGAGGGCCCTGGGAGGAGGGCAGAGGAGCATCCTCTGTGGTAGCAAAGAAGAGAATGTTTACACAGTCAGCAAATTAACTGCCACATGTTGTAATCCATTTTAATCTTCATAAAGCAATTATTTTCCTCCCTCATTCTAATGTGTAGGGACATAAATTATTGTGGCTTTAAGATGTTTAAAGGTCATCATCAAGGCCCTTTTCTGACTTAACAGTGTGTATCGCTTCTGTATTGGGCTGGATTAAGGTGTTAGACTTGCCCCTAAGGATAGGAATCATTTTGAAACACACCCTTGTTTAAAGAGCTGGGTGAGCAGAGCTGACACACATACTTCTAATCCCACTCTGGGCCCTGGCCCATTCCCACTCTTACCTCTTGATTGCCTGCTGGGCCAGCATTCGATTGCCAGCCAGAAACGTCACAGTACCCAAGATGGCCAGGTACTTCAGCGTCTGGAACATGTTGAGCTGAGTCCAGTAGACATACATGAGCCCCAGCATAGCTACAAGAAGAGGTGTTGTGATATCCAGTTAAATGAAATAGTGACAACCCCTTGGGGTACAGGAGAGTTAGGAGCAGTAACTTTCGGATCACAAAAAGGTCTGTATTCCTAGACCAGCTTGTTTTATTCCTTTTGTCTGATGCCACAAAGCAGATAACTCAAAATACCTGCCTTTCAGCCTTGCCAACCAGGAAACCCAGAGGTAAAAATCAGACCTCAGCTACATTATCTCTTCCCACGTTCCTGTTCTCATCTATTTCTTTGCTTCGTTAATGTAGGTTTTGTTTTGGTTTAATTTTTTTTTTTTTTAGAAAAAGACTTTACTGTGCTGCTATATTTAGGATTCTTTTTACTTTTCAAATTCTTAATGAAAGTAGGCAGGATATAAATAAATGAATAATTTCCTTCTTATTAAACATTTTTAAAACAATAATTTGCCACCTAGACTAAGAAGGCAGCTAGAAGGACTGAGAATGGAGGTTTAGTGAAAAGGGCTCAGACTGGGCATCAAGAGTTCTGGGTTCCAGTCCAGGCTCTGCCCTTAAAAGTTTCTCTGAGCCTAAATTCTTTCACCTGTCAAACGGGGATCATAATTCCTGCCTCTATCACCCCCCTCAGAGTTGTGATGAGAATCAAATGAGGAAGTGTGTACAAAAGGTACTCTGGAAAGAAAAGTCATGGCTCTAAATAAATTTATACTCAGGTTTTGTTCTCTGCCTGACCCAGGAGGGCTATCACTCAAATCCGGTAACTGGGTCAGAGAGAAAGGTCATCCTGTCAGTTCTGCCCAGAAGGCTGAATGATGAACTACAGCAGGGGCTCTTAACCATCTTTGAGGTCCTGGACACTGTAAGGATCTGATTAAAGTTACAGACTCTTTTCCCCAGAAAAATACATAGACATACATTTGCCTACAATTTCAAGGGGTTCATCTGTGGACTCCGACAGAATTCATATGCTAGGGACACACAGATGGTTACTCCTGAAAGAGGCAAAGAAATTAAAAAAGGATATTGAAGTCTCAGGAAAATGCAAGGCACTACCGATCCAATAGTACGGAGAGCCTCCAAAATGCTTAAATGATTTGTGAATTTACTGTCTCCTTACGTTCAGGTCCTAAGTTCTCAAGAGAACAATGCAGGACAGCGTGTCTGGCTGAGGAAGGGACTGTTTTCTATTACTGTCCAGACACAGCCACCAGTAAATGTGAAGATCGATACGGTGAGGAAAGATAACCTTTGGAAACTGCATTAATTCTCTTCATCTGGGAAGATGGCTCAATGCAAAGATACAATAAGTGAGTAATCTCTGGAAATAAACAGGGCTGTTAAATGAGGGTAAATGGCTTGCCAAAAGTAGCCAAGTACAATGAGACCCAATATAATGACAGCTGTTCTAAGCTGATGGACCAAACAGGTTTATCATCGTATTAACTGTTCTAAAAGGCCACGAGGAAGAGGGAAATGTAATGCTATTAAGTCATTATAGTTAATAGGTTGTGGGTCTACTTAACAGGGCTTTTGTGGGTGCAGGCTAAATGTCAGAGGAGGTTAAATGGAATTAGCAGCCTGGGGCACTTACCAGCATGTCCCAGGTGAAAAATAATCGTGCTAGGAGCAAAAGTGAAGTTGGAGACATTGGCACCAATCCGGATCCACTGAATGATGAAGAGAGATAAATTAAAAAAACTTTAGAACTTGAAAGAGAGGCAGCACATGCATGCCAATGCTAATCCAATGAACAGCCCTAAGGGCTTAAAACTTGGTACATACTGGAAGGACAGGGAATTTTTCCAAGTGACAACAACCCTGTAATGAGTCCTTAGGAAATACTGTCCCCTTGCCCTTTTTCTAGAAAGGCATCCCAACACCTGCTCTCAAATATTCTTGTGTAACTCAAATCTGAACATCATTTTTAATAACAGCTAACCCTTGTTTTTTAAAACACGTGAAACCATGAAACTGAAAGGTCAGAAACTGCATTTACTATGAAGTAACTAACACTCCCTCTAATTTCTCTAAGTAGTGATAAGATAAAGCCATTGGCAGCTGGTAGGGTGCATGCACTCACTGTGGGTTCCATGCCTTTTAAAATTCTGATCACTCAAAAATGAGAACAGGTGCCCTCAGGTCTGGTTTCTGAAACCTTGTGGTATGCTGTCTAGATTTAGACTGACCAATAACTCTTTTATTAAAATCGATTAATTAATTAGAAACACAGCAACTTTCCAAAAGTAAGATCTAATGAGTCTTCCATACACTTCTGAAAATTTTCTGAACTTTGAGGATACGCATCTATGTTTACAATTTTAACCAAGGGGGGTGGGGGGAAGCAACTGGCTAAAAAACCAACCAGTACAGGAAAGTATAAAGAGTAAGTTTCCTACCTCCATGTTCTCCTACAAGTCCATCTCCCCAGAGGGGACCGACATAAATAGATACTGCCTTTTTAAAGTTTTTACACAAAGAGGATCATATTAAACATACTGTTCTGACCCTGGCCTTGTTCATGCAATAATAAATCTTGACAATCTTCTCATATCAGCCTAGATCTATCTATTCTTTTAAAAAGCTGAAAATTATTCCATTGTATGAATATACCATAATCTATTTAACACGTGCTTTCATGCAGACTTTTAGGTTGTCTCCGGTTTTGTGTTCCAAACAGTGCTAGAATGGGCCTCTGTACTGTATTTTTATATCACAATCAGCATTGGGCCTTGTTTTTTTCACACTTGACCGCATCTGAACACTTCTATGGATCATCACAGTTCATGCACTTCTATCATTTTTAATAGTTATTAGGTACTATCTCATGTTCCTTGTTAATGGCTCAGTCTACTTCGCTGCTTCCCCATAGTGGGGAATTTTGGTTATCCTAAAATTTCTTGGCCGTCAGTTCAGGTCACAGCTGCTGGACCCCTTTGGAGCTGTGCTGAGGCCAGAGCACAAAGCCTCCTTTGGAACAGCTCCATCGGCCGAGTCTGGCACTAGACAAACACTGCCCATGCTAATTACAGCTACTCACCAAAGCAAAGAGCAGAAGCAAGGGCGAGAGGATCAGGGCGGTGAAGGTATTGGACACCACTGTGGGGGGCCTCTTCTCAGGCTCACGGAACAGGTGCTGCCATAAGAAGACACACCAAGAATACTTTAGAATGTGCCCTTCCCAGCAGGGGCTGCCATGTACACTGGGGATGGAAATGTCAATGACAGTCAAGAAGAGGAAAGACCTCCCACAGGCTCAAACCTCCTGGCAACAAGTGGCCACAGTCACTTGGCCTTTTGCCTCTTCTGATCCCAGAGGTCCCCATTTCAAAGACACTGCATCAGTCCTGGCTCACTCGGTGGTGAATCCTTTTGCTTCAAGACACATTTGCCATTTAGAGGCTAGAGAAGACAACATATCAGGAGACATCTGGCTGATATCAAAGAGGGTGCCCAGGTATATGGACGACTGGTGTGATACTCCAGAGGCAGGACTCCAGATTTCATAAAGCTTCTGGATTCCTAGGGTGGCACTGTCATATGTTGCTACCCCATGTAAGTTAGCTAACTGGTGATAACCTCCTCTTTTAAAAATTCAACAGAGCTGCACTATGGATGGTTCCAACTCTCACTCAGCCCTCCCTACCCCGGCCCATGACTCTAGGAAGCCCTAAAAAAACTTTCTCCCTCACTTGCTCTGCCTGATTTCCAGAGCTGAACCAGAAGGTTGGATAAATTCCATCATGGGCAAGCATCCCTCTGATATTTCCTTTTTTTATTTGTTTTTTCTTCCTCCTAAGCAATTCTGCCTGAAGATCTCGGGGACTCTCATCTAGATAGCGTGACCCAGCAGAAGGAGTTCTACTGAGGCCCAAACTGATACGTACTGGTGTGACCACAGGCAAGTCGCTTTACTACTCTTTGCCTCAGTTTCTGGCTGGGAGGAGAAAGACCACCCTACTTGGTTGTAAAGATATTGTAATGACCAAAGGAAATAGGGCATTTGACTATGCTTGTAAGCTGTAATGCACTTATACAAATTTAACTTTTTTAAAAAAGATTTTCTTGCAACATATAAACTTGTAGCTGTCTTCCCTGCTTGCCAATGCCCAGACAATCCAGCTCCATGACAAAGCAGCCCCATTTGAGGCTCCTGTTCCCATATTTTCACCACAGCTCTTTTGTGCTGCCACTGCCATTAAGGGATTTCTAACACTGGGACAGTTGCTGCCACCGTCCCCACCCACAAATCAGGCAGCATTCACAATCATTACAGTTAACCTACTATTTAACTGCATTTTATATTCTTAAACAATACTATAACAACATTAAGAGAATTTTTTAAATAATCCTATTATTCTACCCTTTTGGCCCTTGTTCTTCTTTATAGTGAAATGAGAGTGAGTAGCCTGCTTTTATCACTAAAACAGTAATTCACATATAGGTTCCCCGATGCTGCAGTATGATCATTTCTAACGGTTACAAAATAATCCACTGAGTGGATACACCTCGGTTTCCTTAACCAGTGCCCAAACTGTTATAACAATTATTGTGTTCACTTTCTGAAGTGCTTTAGAAACTTTTCAAAGCCTTTCTTTCCTTATCAGTTATCTGTTTTGATCCTCACAACAGCCCTGTGGACTGGGCAGGGATCGCTCATTTTTGTATGCAAGGAAGACAAGCCCCAGGAAAGATGAAGGATTTTCCTAAGGCAGTGAAGCTGTTCTCCCAGTTGAGTCTTCCCACCTGGAGGCCCCATCAGCCCTGATTTACACAGGAGCAGAGAGGATGGAAGCAAAGCATCTGCACTTGCAGCTGGCATGTAGTGACACAAGAGCTACACAAACGGCCCAGGGGACTGGATGTCAGGAAAAACAGACTCTGGTTTTGATTTTGTCTCCAACTATCTGCTTTCTGGGAACAGGTCACTGGGTTCTTTGCACCTGTCTTTCTGGCTCTAGGATGGAGCTGACACTGGCCCTGCCCGACTCATAGGTAGTGAGAGCCAAACGATAAAGCATCATACAAACACGACAGTTAACGAAGGAACCAGAGTGAGAGTTCAGGGGCTTGCTGTCCTCTCTCATTGTGCCCATCCCACAGTGTTTCTCAGCGTTTGGTGGATAAGCCCTTTAGGATATACCTGGATTTCCTGTTTGGGGGTGAAAAGGTTCTTGGACAGGACAGTTGATGGAGCATCTTCTTCAGGGAACTTGATGACCACATCAGCCTTAAAAAAGAAGAGCAGTCTTTAAAGGCACAAGGCAGAGAAAGAGGGTGACATTCATCAGCAGGACAGTCTTGCCTGACTCACACCTAAGACCACAACTGAAAATAACTCCAAGCAGTCCAATCACTTCTTGATCCATTAGTCGACAAATGGAGGCAGTAAAAATTTCAAGAACAAAATAAGTATTTGTTGGAAATGCTTTTAAGAGCAAGAGTTCCAATTTTCTACTGGTACAGTGAGCCCCACAGAGCTGCTTAATACAAAAATCTCAGCTGGCACCCAGGCCGTTACAGCTGCAATCAGAAATTGCTTAGTAACCCTGGGAAGTGTGATTTAGTCACATAAGAAAGAGAAGTGAAAATGTGCTCACGTACAAAAACCAGCCTAAAGTCCAGGAGAAGAAAAGGAGCTTTGATTACTACACAAGAAAATGCAGCTGCCCCTTCGTCTCGCAAAGGGAGCCAGCTACCATCAAGGCCTGCAATTTGGCCTCCGCTACCTTTCTAACGTCATCGCCTACAACTCTCAACAGGATTCCTGAGCTCCAGCAAAAGGGAACCACTCAGGCCTCACTGAAAGTGCCTTGAGCTTTTCTGCAGGCTGTTCCCTTAATGATAACACTATTCTGATAAAAATGCTTGCAATTCTTCCACTCCTAGCCCAAATGCTATGTCTTTCAAGAAGTTTTCTCAGCACACCAAACAAAAGTAAGACATGCAGGTGAAAAGTCCTATGTGAACTGTAAGATTCTATACACGTTGGCTATTTACTAGCATTTTGCACAGCCTACAATTATTACCCAACAACATTCTGAATTATCAGATTTCAAATCTTACCCCTCCCATGAGGCTGTACCATGTCACATAGGCCAGGGCCTTATCTTTTATACCGTGTATCCCCCACACTGGCTTGCTATAATACGAAAATCTCCTTCAAGTACAACTTTTGTAGAACTTCACAGATCACTAGAACCTACGAGAGGGCAAATTTATACTTCATTCATTCATTCACTCACTCATATTTATGAAGCACCTACTGTGTGCAGGCCATGTACATGGCCCTAAGACTTACTAACGGAGACAGCACATAGTCTCCCACCCCCCAATGCTCATTTATTGCCCAGTGGGTGCACAGGCAAGGCTAGGGTGAAGAGCCCTATACACCTAAAAGGAGCATCTGTCTGATTATGCAGTACCCAGGATTGGGTCAGGGTGCATTTAGGCACATACCACATTCCAAAGGATTGGATTCTTCAAAGTGGCATCTCCGATGATTAAGTAGAGGGTGTAAGTGCCGGAGGCAGAATCAAATTCAGTCTTTCTTTCAGAGGTATCCAGTTCAAACTTGTACACATTCTTGCTGTCTGGCTCAGCAACAAACACCACTTCCTGGCCAGTCTTCTGGTTATGAAGTCGGACAAATGTCTAGATGGAACAATAATACAAATCTTTCATCTGTTAATTTCAAAACTCCCTACGGCCCAGCATCCCATCAACAAGGCAGCAGGCTGTTGGCTCGCTAGTCACAGTAAGAGGTCTAGGATCTGCCAGACCTGCCTGAAAGAGTAGAAGGAGCAGTCATCCCACCCTGGTTCCTAACTCAAGAGATCAGAGAGAAGTTTTTGCTGGTAGAACACAAGAAATTTAACTTAGAGGTCCAGCCAATTCTCGACTTAGAGGCTGAAGGCCCAGTTTGTGGATGATTTAAGCCCTTTGCTATTGCTGCAATTTCTTCTTCCTGCCAGCCTTTGGCCACTCTGCGGCCCAATTAACTTCTTCACCAAAGGGTGAAAAGAAGGGAAATGAGGTGAACTGTAAGAGGCCCATTTTCAATTTCCTGGTGCCTCCAGCTAAAGATTTAGTAGAGAGGCTTGAGTACTGACAGCACAGCAGAGTTCTAATCGAGGTGAGCAGCCTGGTGTCATGGAGAGGGCCCAGGCTCTGAAGACAGACGGATTTGGTTCCACTACTTAGTAGCTGAGCAGGTTACTTAACCTCCTTGAGCCTTGATTTCTTCATCTGTAAGACAGAAAGACTAACTTCTACATGTGGTGTTAACTGTGTGAAGATTCACAATAATGTATGTAAAGCACTTACGGCGGGGCCTGGTACATACTAGATAGTCAACAAACAGCTAATACTATTATCAATACGATGGTATGAGTCTAATCATCTTATCCCCCGAGTGGCACAAGAAATTAAGTTTTCTGCACGCTAGAACTGCAGCAAAACTTAATATCCACTCAGAGCTTTTCTTCCAATTATTTCAAAATACAGACTTCAACAGAGCAGGGAGACTTGGTTGGTCTCATTTTACAGATCATAAGGCATAAGTACTAAATAAGTTGCTATGGCCGCACAGCTAGTGCTGGAGCCACAGAGAAAATGCAAATTTCATTTGTTGCTCTATACCTGGGCAACAAAGAACAACCATTAAAGCATTTAGTGACAGGGGCCCAGAGATGAGAAGCATTCTGGCTACAGCAATTATACAGTCTTGGCCAAGAATGGGATTTAGGAGGCCAGGTGCCTGGTCTTCCTCTTATCCCAGCCAAGTGCAGGAAGCAGCCACGATCATTGCAAAATGTCACTTCTACCTGGGAGGTCTCCAAAGCCATGGAGGTTGGTTTCCAAACCAGAATCTCAGATGAGACAAATATTCAGTTAAAGTTACATTTCCTCATCTATTTCCCTTCTCTTATTCTCTCTGCCCTAACCCCAATCCCGCTGATTTAGTCTTGTAATTTTTTCTCTTCATATTCTTTCTTCCCCTGTGCTATTTTGGTTGGTGAATGTCACGCTGGGAGAAAGCTGGGAAATGTTAGGGGGCTGAAGTACTTAAAGGTTAGTCACCCATGGCTAAGTGCCCTGACCAAGCTCTCTGGAGTCTGGGGGTAGAGGGGAGAGCAGAGCAGAGCAGTGTGGGGATGGTGGTCCTGGTGCAGCAACTCTGGGGCCTGGGCACAAGTGCAGAAGCTGCAGCCACAAGAAACAGAAGCAAAAAGGTTTCCAAGTAAAGCTACTGGCCTCTGAAGCTGCCTCTTGGGATGGATACAAGTCGGCTGGTTCTTGCTAAAGTACAAAGCACTTAAAACAAGCCCATTCTGGTCCAGCATTCTTTCCTATCTTTGGACATGCAAAGTATTTGGATTTCCCTTTACACAACACTTAACTGTGTATGGGGCAGGGCGAGAGCACTGACTCTCAATCAAGGGAAATGACAGCAGCAGGGGGTAGGGAGTGAGGGGGGAAGACAACTGAGCAGACTCCCTGGGAAAGGTACGGTTTGAAATATCTCTGAAATAATAATTTTCATTACTTTTTATAGGGAAAAAAATGAAGACTTTTGCTTTCATAATACAAAGCAGGAACAAGTTTAAAAGGGCTATTCCTCAGATTCCCACAAATAAAAAATCTGCTTTGGCCAGAACAAAAAAACGCTTTGGGCCCACTGTCTAGGTTTTTGTTTCATCAAAGTTATTTCAATATTTTTTATAAGAAAGAAAAAAGCCTCAATTAAGGATTAATCTGCTTGAAATTCATCTTCTCGACACCAGCTAATCTTTTAAAAAGAAGAGTATATTCCAGGTTCAGGGTTACAACCAGCTACCAAAGCGTGCAGTGTCATGTGGGAGAAGCCCAAGGCGGTTGAACCTGATGAACTGTTGGGGCTCCAAGTGAAGATCTGAAGGCAGGCGTTCGGAATCTCCCCTAGTCAGTGTAACGTACCATAACATTAGCTCTAGTATACATTAATGCTTCAGGCCAAGAGAACTATCTGGGCCTTTTCCTGACCTGGTGAGGAGTGAGTTCAGCGCCAGTGTTCACATCTACCAGCTGGAAGAACAAGGCGAAGTTCTGGTGGCTGTCTGCAATGAATGTGCCCTTGGCTTTAGCTGGGTAGGTCACCCTGAAAGAGACAGGCAGTAAAGTCTTTATAAAGGGTCTGCATACCTCTGACAACAGGCAAAGAATACATTCTTCACTTCACTGCCTAATCCTCCGTTTCCCACTATAACACTTTCCTGTTGTAGACAGACAGATGTGGAGAACTGTCTGGGGCCTGGGGGCAAACTGAGCTGATAATAGCCAGGACTGAGAAAAGAACAGATGAACTTTCATCAGGGTCTGGGGAAGTGCTACACACAGATGCTTGTACCTCCAGCCTTTCACTTCAAGGGCCTAAGGACCTCAACTCAACCAAGTCAGGCAGCAGTGGAGCTCACGAGTCTCACTGCAGGCACACAGGCGGTCTGGAGAGCTGTGCTGGCAGAACCACATGGGCAAATAACCACAAGATAGATGTCAGATGCACATGTGGGCAAAGCAGGGGGCTGGGGGGCTGGGGACGCAAAGGAAAGAAGGGCACTTTCAGCTTTTTCTGTTTTCGTACTATTTCATCATTTCAATTTAGTTTCCTACCTGAAATTGAGTTTTAAAAAGTGATTTTTTTTTAACAAAAGGAAGACTCACAGATGAACCCTGATAGAATGTGAGAAAAATGTGAAACAAAATTTCAAATTCCTAAAAAAAAAAAAAAAAAAAAAAAAAAAAAGAAAAAACCCAGACTTACTGGACTGGTTGAGACTAGAGGACTCCCTGACACTATTGCCCTGAGTACTCTTTAAATCCTGAACAGAAACTAGCCCCTGAGGTCACCTTTTAGCTAAATAACAAAATGGCTCATAAAATAAAGAATATCACCTATACGTACTATGCTCCTTTAAAAAAAAATCATCTATTTGAGACCAAACAGTCAACAATTACTTTAACACAAAGATGAGAATGTAAGGGGGCAGGGAAACTAGATAAATGGAAATGGAACAACCAGAATAGAAATATTGAGAATGTTCATGTATTGTAAAGAATGTAACCAATGTCAGTGAACAACTTGTGTAGAAATTGCTGAATGCGAAACTAAACTGCTGTGTAAACCTTCACTGAAAACACAAAATACTATTAAACAAACAAACAGCAACAAAAAATAATTGGGGAAGTTAATTAAAAAAAAAAAAAAGGCAGACTCAATGATGAAAACTATTCTTTTCACAGCTATTTCCTAGGATTTCAGGCTAAGAAGGCCTGGGGATAAAACAAGCCAAACGGTTATATAGCTCACATCTGGCTATAGATTTACTTATGAATAATAACAACTGTTCATTTATATAAACTATTAAATGTTACAAAGCACTCTCACAAACATTATTTCAGTGGAGTCTCAAACAGTGCTCTCATCTCCAATGTCACTATTAAAATAGCCAAGCCAGAGGCAGAAAGGCCAGTGCTACATGATTTAAAAGGAGTGACTGGCTTCCAGGCTCCAGCTAATATCTCCTGTCTTAAAAATGGCATCTATGGCCACCTCAGTCAAGTAAAGTTCAGGTCTGAACTATACCCAGAGATCTTAATGCTTTTGCCCCAAAATAAGAATCTGGGGGAAGGCTGGCAAAAGGGCTTCATATACTGATCTGCGCCAATTCTGATCAATTGCTAATGGTTATTTAGAAGGCTATGTTAAAAAAACTTTCCAAGGTTGTGTCTGAGTTTAGCAAGAACAAGTGCTGGGACTGATTAGTGACGCTTCCCATGGACTTGGGGAGCGGAATGGTAGTCCTAGTGCAAGGTATTTGCCATCTCAGTTCTAAGGACATATAAGGCTTCCAACAGATTTCAGACCTGGGCCAAAGAAAGTTTCCATGAGCCCACTAAAAGCAAATTCAGGACTGCCAAGATAAGGAGACTGAACTAGAATATAAATCAATACACTGCTTCCTTCATTGAGAAAAGTCTTGTTATAAAAAAAAATGTCATCTGAACAAATAATTACGTGCTTAGTGACACAGTTGACTTACTTTCTGAGGCAAGCTCCTTAACTCGTTGAGGACTTGTAATAAGTAGTTTACTTACAGACTGAACACCAGTATAAACAACGCTCAAATCTGCTTAGATGCCAAGCAGAACCCCTGGTGCAGTACCAGTGGAACTACAGCCACTTCAGTCTAGGGTGCAAGCTGGATCACTGCTGACACAGAAATGACCCCTGAAGGGTTCAGTGACTAGGCATGCTCCTCTAGCTCCAGAGACTGTGCCCAGGTGGCATCTACCTACCGGGTGGTTTTAGGTGCAATACTCTGATCCTTATCCACAGTGGAGAGATCGACATTTGTGATGCCAACTTCAGTGGAGATCTTGACTCTGAGCTAAAGTGAAACAGAAGAAAATCACCAAGTCAACTGGTGGGTATACCAGGAATTAACATGCATATCCAAAATTTTCTACTCTTAAAAGTAAAAGCATGAAAAATCCTAGGACATAAGTCTTCAATGACTGTAGTAAAATGGACCCAGCCAGACAGTATACAGAGGCTTAAAAGAAACTCCTTGACTTTTATCCCTTTTTCACTTCTCTGAATTTGGTGGGATGCATATATATTTAAAAAAAGAAAGGAAAGAAAAAGATCTTGTTCTTGTGTCCTTTAAAGTAAATAAGGGGTTAAAAATCAGTAAGCAGTAATCTTAAAGTAATTCAGATTAACAAGTACTCAATTCTAGTGATAGCTAGGATTTATTGAGTGCTCACTATGTGAAAGGTGCTGCTTTATAAAGATGATCTTATTTAATCCTCACAACAACTCTGCAAGGTAGTGCTCTTTCAGATGAGGAAATAAAAGACTAGAGAGGCTAAATTGCTTGCTCAAGATTACACAATTACTAAGTGTTAGAGCCAGTATTTAAGCTCAGACACTCTAACTATACCTGTCTATTCTTAGGCACTTCGTTTTATAGCTTCCCATCAACACTTACTCAATGCCAAGGGTTACTGTAACTGCCTGGGAAGACCTAAGAAGCTATGGAAGTCATTTGTATTGTTCACCAAGATCTTCTGATTCTCCTTCTGAGCATGTGGTAGACCTGTACTTTTCTGCCCCCCATGAGTCAGGTGTGGCCATGTGGCTTGCTTTGGTCAACAGAATGTGAGTAGAAATAAAGTGTGTCACTTCCAGGTGGAAGCTTTACGAGTCTGTGTGATTCTCTCTTTCCTTCTGACAGGTAATATGCAGATAGAGGCTTGCTACTTCAGCCTGGGCCATGGAGTCAAGACATGAAGCTTGAGCCTCCAGCTGACCCACTAAAGACACCTAGTGTAGACAAGAAATGAACCTTCGTTGTTTTAAGCCACCAAAATCTGGGCTTTGTTATAAGCATAACCCAGTCTATCTTGACTCTTACAGAGACTCATCCTGGTTTTAAGTTTATATGACCGTTATAAATACTTTCACAAAGGGGAGCTAGCCAATGTCAGTAAAAAGAAATTAAAAAATTAGATAAAAATAAAGGCAAAGTTCCAAAACAGACAGAAAACACGTTAACAGTCTATTCATTGGAAATTTCTGAACTTAAAATCTAAGATGAATGTGAAAGTTACGCATTAAAATCTAAGATCAATGTGCAAGTTATGCAAACCCAAGGTGCTTTTATGTGCAAACATATCTGTGAGCCTTCCAAACATTTGATAGGCTGAATGTAATGCTTAAGGAAATCCCTACCAAATCCACTGATCTACAGTGAACGTCCAGATCAGGGAATAGAGACAGAGGACTCGGCAAATAATTGAAGGATAGCTTCAGCATTTTTCTAAAATGCCATATCAAGGTGTGACAGCCTCAAATCAATGGCAAAAATTAAAAGGCATAAAGATAGCTATCAAGTAATTCCTTTTAACAGCCTTCTCTCCTGTCTCCATAATAACTATTTTGTGACAACAGCCTCAATTATCACGTTGAATAGGGGTGTTCTGTTTTGCTTAAAAAGAAAAACCAAATGTAAAAGATTTATTACCAGAAGCTGTAAGGAGATTACCTCCTACTTTTGAATGCACAGCCACCTATTGGCAGAATTATATTTAGCACAACTGCCTGTCATTGAGCCTAGGCAACTGGGTGAATTATGGCTGGTAGGGTGGGGTGGCCTGGGGGAGACGGCCACCAAGCTAACCAGACCCCCAGTGAGACAGCTGGGAGCCTCTATTTTGGTTCTTTGGGCTCTCTGCTAATAAGTAAACAGCTTCACAACTCACACAGGGCTTGGAGCCAGAGCAAGCATTGCCATAGAAAACTCAACCCAGAGAGGCACTGATACCACCTCCACTTAAAGACAAACTGGAGGGGAAGGTTCTGACAAAGAAGTTGCCAAAGAGCTTTGGTTAGGGTACTGACTTTTAGCAAGATACCCTGCTGAGACCACTTTCCCTACCTCCCCCTATCACACATCTGGAGCACCTAGATGCAGGGGCTATACAGGGATGGCAAGATGTACTTCTCCTTAAGGGAAGACACAGGCAGACCACAACTATTATAGGCCAGGTCACGGTTTTAATGACGGGGTATACAAAGTGCTACGGAAGCACAGGAGAAGGAACTGTGACCCACATCTGCCTCGGGATGGCCCCCTGGTTGGAGAGTGAAAAATGTGTAGCAGGAGGACACATTTTGGGCAGCCCTCCAATTCTGGTAGTGGTAGGGGTTTAGCGATACCCCATGCTAGTAAAACTAATCTGTCTTCACAGTTAACTACTCTGCAATCTTCATCAACATTAACCGGATAATTCCCTCATCACTTCTGTGACTCATTCTCTTAAGGACTTATTCATTTAAATTTGTAAATGTGATTTTGAAATCACTGTCCCACCTAAATGTGCATAAACAGGGGACTAGTTAAATAAATTCTGGTACAGCTACACTATGGAGCAATTAAAAAGAATAAAGTAGAGGTCTACCTGTAGATACAGAGATAGTGCCTCCTACTGTTGAATACACAGTCACCTGTTGGCAGAATTATATTTAGTAAGTCTGCCTGTCATTGAGTCTAGGCAAGTAGGTGAATTAATGGCATTGGGGTCGGGGAAGAGACAGCCATCAAGTTGGATAGACCCCCATGGGAAAGGTGGGAGGCTCTACTTTGTGACAAAAGCAAAGAACACAACTATTTATAGAACGATCCCTTTTGTGTAAATAAGAAAAGATATACATACATTCACTGATATATACATCCTATTTTTTTCTTAAAGGATACACAAGAAATTGTTAATAATGGATTCCTCTGAGGAGAGGATCTGGGTTGAGAGGATAGGAGAAGGCTCTTATATTCCATTATATCCTTTCTGTACTTTGAATTTTTTAACCACATGCATATTTTATTCCTTTAAAAAAAAAATCAGGGATTATGTGGGCAATGAGATTGTGGGGCATATACTTTCTTGTTTATAAACTTTTCTGTATTAAAAAAGTACCACCTATCTGGGGTCTTAAAAGCTTGTGAGCAGCCACCTAAGATACCACTGGTCTCATCTCATCTGGAGCAAGGGAAAATGAAGAAAACCAAAGACACAAGGGAAAGATTAGTCCAAAGGACTAATGGATCACAACTACCATAACCTCCACTATACTGAGTTCAGCACAACTAGATGGTGCCTGGCTACCACCATCGACTGCTCTGACAGGGATCACAATAGAGGGTCCCAGACAGAGATGGAGAAAAACGCAGAACAAAATTCTAACTCACAAAAAAGAAAAGACCACACTTACTGCTCTGACAGAGACCGGAGAAACCCCGAGAGGATGGCCCCTGGATACCCTTTTAACTCAGTACTGAAGTCACTCCTGAGGTTTACGCTTCAGCCAAAGATTAGATAGGCATATAAAACAAAACCAGACTAAACGGGCACGCCAGCCCAGGGGCAAGGGAGAGAAGGCAGGAGGGGACAGGAAAGCTGGTAATGGGGAACACAAGGTTGGGAAGACGAGAGTGTTGACATGTCGTGGGGTTGGCAACCAATGTCACAAAACAATATGTGTATTAACTGTTTATTGAGAAACTAATTTGCTCTGTAACCTTCATCTAAAGTACAATTAAAAAAAAAAAAAAGATACAGAAACAAAGTATCACCTAATGAATAGGATTTTTAAAATAATTAGTCTCTCTTTCAACAGATGGATATACACGAACAGATGTTTAAAGGCTTGTCTAAGGCCCCTCAATGTATCCTAATCATAGTGATAAGAAAGCCACCAACTCTAGGGTTTTCCCTCAGAATCCTGACCGTAAACTTTCAGTAATAACATGGCCACTAAAGCCTCCTAATCAAGATTCAGCTGCATGTTTGTACTAAAGACATCATGAGCATTCCCAGACAACACAGACACAGCCAGTGAGCAAAAAGGCAAATGGCACTGAACTCAAGTCATTTCTGGTTTGCTCTCAGCCCTAATTTTAAAAGGCCTCCTAAGTTATAGCTTTCTTTGTTGCACAGAACACTGTAGGGCTGTTCTTGAACAGAAAACGGTTTAACACAAGTCCTTCTGCTCCTAAAACGTTTCTATAAATTGGCTCTGGAAACACATTCAAAAGAAGAGTGTTTTTATGCTACCCTTTTAAGGCTGATTGAGAATTAAAAATCCATCATATTTTTTTTCAAAGCCCTGTTTTAAAGAATTTGCTGTAGGATTCCTGTTGGTTAGCACTTCTTCATTCCAACTAACACTGCAGGATTAGTTTTCATAATAGGAAAGGGGAACTTATTTCTCTCCTTTAAATACAGCTAAGCCTGCTTTACAGTGGATCACGCTGGTCCTTTCTTTGCCTGTGCTGCATGCCACATACACCTTAAAAAATGTTTTAACGCCAGGAAATGCAGCCTTTCTGCTGAGAGTAATAGCCCTTCTGTTTAGCTCATTACTGTCAAAAATGATGGTGCATTAGGGGCAATTAATGCTAATGACAGCTTCCAAAACCCACGCTTCCCCTGACAGCCAGTCCAATGTCAATGAGCACCGTTACAGGCCTTCCACACTAAACCGCGTTAATGCATTCTGACCCACGTTGAGCATCTCTAGGGAGGATAAGTGGGACCCGCTGACCTGCTCTGAGGCTCTAAGTGTGACTATTACTGAAATTACAAAGTAAAGCTGGCATATATGGCAGAGGTCAGAGCTCACCAAAAAAAAAAAAAAGAAAAGTAGTTCTAATGTAATGAAGAGCGGAAGAGGTTCTGTAATGTTTACTTCATTACCAAGAAGGACAGTCATGGCCTAAATGGGGGCTTGTTATCATTGCAGGAATAACAGCTATTAGCTATTACTGCTAAATAAGTTTTCCAATAACCACAGGAAACACTTGGACAAACACTATACTTGATGTTACAA